AGATGTGTATAAGGGACAGATATACTATATATATACATGTATATGTGGGTGGGTGTGTGTGTGTATGTATGTATGTGTGTATGGGTACATGTATGTATATGTACCGTATGTATGTATGTAGCTTGCTACCATCTGCGACTAGAAAAAACATACTTGTTACAAACCGACGCCGAACATCTGTAAAATATAATATCGAAACTGCCTAAACCTGTTTGTGGGCGGCCCTCGGTGTTAAATTAAAGAATTGCTTCCGCCCTCTGCCCCCTTTTTATGTCCACCACTGGTATACTGTATCTGTGCGTCCGTGGAAAATCGTTGTTGATGAATAATATGTGATATGCTTTCCTATCAATATAAAGTTTGTGCGTACTTTCGCCGGTTGGATATCCACAATGTACTGCACACATTGCCTACACAAAGATACATGAAAGGGCATTTTCGATATTCATAGGTCCTTGACAATGAGAACAAACAGTGGGTACATGTCTTTCAAATTTTATATACAGGAATATGATGAATACAAAAAAAAAAAAAAAGAAACGCCGCAAACATTTGCTTTGTAAAATTCGAATATGACAACAATAAGCAAGTGGAATCTATTCATTTTTTTGTCTGTTTTGCATACATAGGAGCCTTATACCGCTTTTAAATAAAACTTAAATAATAATTACTCACAGATACAATATGTGAAAAATAAGCCATTTAAATCTATTGTAAATGTTTTTTTTTTTATCCATGCACCGTGCCACTGACTGTCTTTTGAAGTTGGTTGTTTTCAATATTATTATATTATAGCTGTTTCATTACAATGAAAATCGTGCCTTTTAGGTGTGATCTCTAGACAATAAAGAAGTGCCTGAATATACGAGTTCCATTACAATGAAAATCGTGCCTTTTAAGTGTGATCTCTAGACAATAAAGAAGTGACTGAATACACGAGTTTGTATACCAAGCATGTAACTGCAAGTGTTTTCAGTCTGAAATTACCATGGTATTCTGCATTGATCAGAAGGTTGATAATGTTCTTTTTCCCACGGCTATTAATTTTGTAGGTGGCACACCGTCACTCCATTTGTTTGCAACATTTTAGTAGATGAAAATGCGACTGATGATTATCGAGTGTAGTTTATAAATAAATATGATAGCAATAATATTGTGCATAATTATTTCATGTAAGTCTAATTGTTAATGGAGTTCGCGATGTTCCGTATTGGTACAGTACCAATACCGTAAAACCTCGAATAATAGTCCGATGGGTTTAATCTCGAGAAGCCTGAATTTTAGTTTGCAAAAGTAGCTTTGAAAAGAACCCCATCTCGAAAACAAGTTCATTGTGTTCTTTACAAGATAGCATTGGCTTCCTTTCGAGATAGTACAGTTACATGCACAGTGCATGAATTAAAAAAAAAAATTAGGAACACGTTTGGTTTATACTGTTATTTATTAGATTTAATGCCGGTTAATACACTCCATGATATAGTCTGATGTTGCAGTGGACCATATTTTTACAGTAGAAATTTCCACAATTTACAGAATTCATTTTGAAATGAATTTGCAATATACTTTACAATATAGCCTCGAAATGAAGCCGATATCGAAAAGAAGCCCATCCAAAGTTAAAAAAAAAAGGAAGCCTTAGGCTTCTATTCGAGGTTTTACGGTATTAATTATTTTTAACACTCGTCTTCTGCAACGTGGATTATTGACAGTGACTGATCTAAATTTGTATTGTCAACCTTACATTTTAATATTTTCCAATATGATACTTAAATATATTCATGTTAAATATATGAACTAGAAAATTGAGTGATTTAAAGGAACGAAAGGAACATTCGAAAAATCAGATTTTCTTGAATTTTCTTAATAAAAACTCAACTTTTATTAATCATAAAACAGTTGTTCTATATTTATAATGCACCAAGTTAAAAAGCTCTACTTCGAGACAATATACAGTAGCACGAAACGAAGTTTGTTTGGTATTGCACTTGCTATAGCAGGGTACACACCTATGACATCACCACTGCGTGGCGAACGCATAAGCGTGTGTTGTCTGTCTTGTTAATCAGTGGTACAACGTTGATTATTTAGGGGCGGATCCAATCCAATTTTTCCCTATTCGTTTGTGCCTGAAACAGTATTGACAATACATAGTCAAGCTGAATATATGATCGTTTATGCACGTAAAAGGCATGTGAGTGGCCTATGTTATGACAAATATATGCTGCTGACCTAACCGTATTCGTTATCATCGGTTCGTAAGCTTGCGAAACCAGCTTATTCCTGACTAAATGATCCTTCAAACGATGCTTGTGTAGGCGTTATTTAGTGATATACCTAACTGCGTTTTTATTTGTGACATAACCTAGCCACAACGTGTTAGCAATTACGTTCATAAATGTTGTAATAACGTTCCATTTTTTTTTTTTTTTTTTTTTTTTTGGGTGGGCTATTACCTGAATAATTACTACTCTTACTCATTACGTTTTCACCTCTGGTTGTTGAGAGTGGTATTATTTTTTTTTCCTTTTTTTTTTTTAGCCTACTCGTGTCAGTTCATAGCAAGTAGTAGTAATATCGTACCAAAGCAGCAGTCTACAGAGCAGCTAAGCCGGTACTCCTTTTTTTCGGTATGTAAATAAGCTGAACTGAATAATAATATTCAGCGCAGACGTGACCGGCCCTGGAACTTTCAACAACTACTTACGCTCGTGTAAGCATGGGGCCTGGTAGGCCTCCTAAACAGATTACTGGACCATTATTCGTTCGTAACTTCTTGGTGCGTATCAAATCATCATGACATCATCAGAATCATCATTTATCTTTAGATGGAATGTGAAAAGCAACTGTCGCATATTTCTTCCACGTGATTTTGTCTTTCAAGAGTTCATTGGGAGTTTAAAAGATTCAAGTTCTAATAACTAATTTTCTTCTCCCTACGGGCTGAAATCAGAAATCCGTTAGAATAGGTGAAATCAAGCTTAGAGATAGAGTACCTATACAGTCACCAGTATTGGAGACGATGCTTTTTTATTGTAGTTGACAAACTGCATTATTAGAAATAAGATCTTCGACAACTGATATCCAGATCGTACAAAAGTAGAGTATAGCAGCCATTTATACAGTCCTCAAGTTTCTGAGTAACGATTTAATTTTCTGAGACAGAGTGTTGAGTATGCTTTCACAAGCAAAAATGTCAGGAAGGTTAAACAAAGCGTAACGAGCCGTCATTACCTGTATTAGCATTTTGGTGATTGAGCAACCTCAAATTGATTTGTTTCTCGATTCAAGACTTCTGTTATAACGCACATTGATTTGAAAGGTTCAGAAATAGCGTATGCCATGGTCAACATATCTGATTTTAATGATGATTTACACTTCTTGTGACGAACGCGTTCCTTGTGACCTGAGACAACTAGACTTTGTCTCAGATTTTGACCGATTAGGAACTTTTTGCAGTTAGGCCTATCCATTACCATGGGTTTCATGATGTAGCAAATATTGAGACATGATTAATTAAAGCAACGCTTCCTAAATAATTAATACCATACGCCAACTTATCAAAGTATCGTTCAACGCATTTCCACTTCTTTGCAACATGACTACGCTCTCGAACACGCACATGCAGTGTTAACGATATTCTTCCATCCGGTGCAAATGCAAACACAATATTTAGTGTTCCTCAGAAAATACATTTGCGAAGCCTTTCAAAACGGACAGTGTCAAAGTCAAAACGCGTCAGAAACGCACTTTCACAATAATACACATGTTTTACTTTTTACCGGTGATTTTGATCTTAAACTGAAAGGCTGCTTTGAAATGTTATCTCCATAAATTTTCTTTTCCAGTAGTTTACCATGTTTCATACGCAATGCTGAGCTCTCCGAGTCAACTCGTTCTGATTTCTGTTTATTCCGTTCCATTTCCAGTGCCAGCTTAGACATTGACTGTGCAATGATATTGGCTACAAATTCAGCCGCAACCTGTGAAAAATAATTAAGAAACCATTAAGGTTACAAAAATAGCATCAAAAAGCTAAACAACAACACGGACGTGTTCATATCGACGCTTCGGAACATACGTAGGTCTCTCTCCAATTAAAGTCCACTCCTGGGACCGGGGTTTTCAATGGTCTTTATCAGCAATGTCTCTAATTAGAATAATAAAGATAATAAAAGACATGTTAATTAGGGACCACAAAAATCATCTTTAATTTAAAGAGGTTTTTAAACTTTAAGCACTGGAAAACTTTGAAAAACTTATTAGTAAGCAAACAAGCGTGAATATACTCAGCAGTGGTTGAAGGTTGCGTAAGTTCTTCAAAGTTATCCATTGATTAAATTTTATGACGTTAATCTAAGTAGCCTCATATTTATTATTAATTTTTGTTTAATTTATAAATAAGGTTTAATTTAGTTGTGTATTGTTACAGCATAGTAGGACTGTATATAAAACTATCATGTTTTGCCTGAAATATATCCACAGGATTGAAGCTTTTACTGCCATTTTGTCCAGAACTTTTATCGGGACTACTTAGCGGCCATTATTCCCAGCGCCTCACAAACCCCACCAATAGGTATAGAGTCCATATTTTATGCAGGTTTATGCTTTACTTTGCCACTGTTAACCAGAATTTCTTCATTACGCCGGATTTGTCAAAATCGAGTGCGAGATGTAGCCATGAAAAATATGGCGTGGTATGATTTGTTGTGCATTCCTTATATAAATCTCGGCACACACTACGTACTATGACTGTCGACTGACGAATCCGTCTCCGCTGGCCGTGACCGCTTGACGATGCGACACCGTCTGCTGATTGCCGGCAGCAGTGTGCGAAGATGTATTAGCTCATGACAGTCAGTATATTTTTATTAAGTAATCCTTATTACATTGCATCTTTATGTAGATTATTATTAAAGATTTAACAATCATCTTTTTATTGCTGCAAATAAAAAGATATTGTTTCCGTCACGTCATGAAATATGCCCTAGTGTAGCATTAGCGGAATCGTAGTAATACCACATTCCTTATTTATAATACAATTGATTTTCCACATATCGGGTTATAGCGCCTTTGGATCAAGAGGTAATTCTGTAATTCTCAAAATTCATCTGCTGTAAAGTAGGGCTCTCAGACTTTGAAAATGTTTATCATTTTAACATCCTCCTTTATTCTCGTGTTTTCATTTAATACTTTAAATGTGCCAACATAACATCTCTTCAGTCAGATTGTCTTGCGTTTCACGCTGCTACAGGTATAAAACTTTGAGCTGGTATGCTAGAGAATGGCACAAATAGTATGGTTTATGTTGCTCGTCCAAAAACTTCAATATAAGTATACAGGGCTATAGTTTTATTACAAATGTATTATATCAAAATGTTGGCCTGCCTACCTTTTGCAATTGTACCGAATGCTGGTCTTTTAAATCACCGTTTTCTCCGTCACATATGTCCCATTTTATTCTCCCCTTGTTAACTGTTTCCACCTTTTTCTCCATATTTAACTCCCCTGCACCTATGACTTCAATACTATCGAGCAAATAGCACGGATCTGATGTATTCTCAATTTCTTGTGAAGTGAGCCAAGTTAACCATTGTTGAATATTTAATTCGTTGTTGTCTGAAAAAATAGAATATTTAACAGTGAGTTCTTGAAATCAAAACGTTAATGTTATACGTCACAATTATTCTACTCATCTCAACCTATACTTCAAAGAACACATGTTTATGCAAAAAACACATAATTCATTATGCTGTATTCGGGCGTACAATGATAATGCGTGCTCGTAAAATTATAGGAAACATTACATTCGGACTCTTGTACGTCACATATAGCAAAAAAAAAAAGAACTCTGTTTTACTATAGGTAAGTTCACTCTTGTCTATATGTATTCATATACGGTATAATCATTAAGCAAGACGCTATGAATGACCATAATCCTAAAATAGATTGTTAAAAGCCGAAGGCCTTAGCTACCAATGAATAACTTGTTAATGAAACACAGATTGAATCTGTAATTTACTTAACAATTTTCAACTTCCTTACATGAATATTTCTTTGCCTTTCTAGAGGTAACCTATATATATATTATAGGCCTATATATTATAAGCTTATTATAAGCGCTTCACCAAAATGGGTAAAAATGGCGTTGAGAATTTATTTAAATCTTTTACGTTTTACAGTGATATATATTACTTTTCTGAATGATATTGAAAATTATATATATATGCCAATTATGTACCCCATTTTCAACTTCCTTTAGCAGGAATATCACTTCGGTCATAAAAATAATAAAAGAAAAATCTAGGTTTCAAATTGGAAAATATTTTACTCTTAATGGAGGTAAGCCAACCGATTTTTCATTGCAAATTAACCTTTATTTTGATTATTTTTCTTCTTTATTGGCAATAACAATTTATCACGTGCTTCATAATGCCTTAACTAGCGTCTATTTGAAATAACTCAATAAGGGACACTAATTATATTTAACGTATAATGAGATTCAGTGCTTGTTTGCCAAAGTGCTTTTAGAACTCCGTTAAGCTAATACAGTTGCAAATTAAATTGAGCATTAAAATTGCTTACTTTATGTTTAGGTAGATTATTAGATTTCGGTTTAAAAACAGAATTAATACATTTCTTTGCCGTTTAGGGCTAACAGATACGTATACAAATTTCTTTATACATTTAGCATGAAATTATTATTATTATTATTATTATTATTATTATTATTATTTTTATTATTATTATTATTATTATTAATTTTATTATTATTATTATTATTATTATGATCATCCTCATCATCATCATTATTACCATTATCATTATTATATAAAAGATAAAACTTGTGCCTATGGGAAAAATACTTTATCATATGCTAGTCCCCCATGGCTACCTGAAACAGGCTAAATGAACTTATTAAGACATGTTAAACAAATTTCTCTTAAAATCTTTGTATTATAAACTAACCAACCAACCAAACTACTAAAGTTGATGTTTTATTGTCATTTAATCCATTGTTAATTACCTGATGATCACCGTCTACCTTTCTACTAACGCATTTACTCTACACATCCTCAGTTTTAATTTAATCAACCTGTGCTAATAATGTTAGTCATTAGGCAATCATATCTGAAGAGTGTTGCAGCATGTATGTGTACACGAAACTAAATAATAGCAATAAAATGAAATCAAACCTACCTACCTTTGAACCTTTATTGTTTTGTATTAAATAAATCATAAAGAACATAATGAATGGCTGATATGGTAACTGCAGCGAGGGTGATATGGAGAATTCTAACCATTGCATGAAAGAACCCGAATATATATATAT